GCCACCTTAAATAAACTGCGGTGGAGCGGACAAAAAGCGTCGCTACAATTACGGCTGTGATTGAGAAATAATGTGGAGTTCGGGGAGCTTTTAGTGGGAATTTGAATTACTGAGAAATTGCTTTAAAATAAATGTGTAGCAATTACTGAAAGAGACAAAAGGCTGATTTGTGAATAGAGGTTGAGGGGAAAACTAAAACCAGGTTTTGTCACCTTTTGGGAACAGAACAGACTGATCCCAGTAAAGATTGCAGGGAGTCTGTGTAATCCTCCTCGTTTAGAGGTGAAAGTGTCCAGCTGAATGTTTTTGATGCAGCTTTGATGTTTGAATGCAGTTTGAATGTTTTGATGGGTTGATGGGTCCAGTGTCTGTAAAATATTGGAATAAATAGTTAGATAAATGATGTCCACAGGAACAATGTCGATTAGGCCAGTGATCCATGTGATGTGTCTGGTTAGGGCACAGGGAACATATTTTCACAGAATGCTGTGAAACACAGGATCTGTGAATCTGGGAAATCAAAGAATAGGGTTTCTTGAGCGTTTTTGTTAATCTTTTTTTGTCATTGCCTGTTTCACATAATGGACCTTTTTCATTTTGTGCATCCAAAAAAGACCCTTTAAAACAATGTTACCATTTCTCTTCCTCCCTGTAAATATGTGAAGCTTTCCCTTCTTGGTATTTTTTATTTGTTTTAATGAAAATAACGTTTTCAAGGTCCAAGGACCGGTGCTGGGGGGGGTGGTGCGTGTGTGAGATTCAGTGGCATGGCAGGGTTCGCCCGCAGCACCGGGGGATACGGAGCCACTCGCTTGGCTGCCGCATCCTGGGGGGCCTCCCCATCCTGGGGGGGGGCTCACGAAACACGTGGGATCTACACCCGGAGCCTTTCGGCGTGTGCTTCAGAGTAAACCGCTTGGATTACTCTCAGGGGAAGGATGATGTAGTGAGATTTCTGGCGGTGGGGGTCTGCCTCTGCTCCCGCTGCAGGAACCCTTTGGACATGGCCCCTCCTGGGCTGCGGGGGGGGGCTGGGCTGCGTTTGGCTGTAGGGGCCCGGGAGGCTGATTGGAAAATAAATTGTATTGTTTAGATTAGCCTCACAGCTGGATCCCCAAGTCCCAGCACTGATCCCCGCTTGGGATTCAAGGAGCCGGATGGCTGATTTCTCAGCCGAAAGGCAGGTGTGTGATGCTCCCAGGTGTTACCTGCGTGCCGTGGCTCACTGGGGTGCCCAGGAGAGCAGCATGCAGCTTTCTGCCCCCCTTACCAGCTACAGGCATCCACCCCTGGCAAGAATTTTGTGTGAGAGAATATAAAAGGCAGCATCTGCAAATGCAAGGAAAGATGGATGCAAAATGCAGTTTCTGTGCAATGCTTGCCAGGGGGAATTGAAATGCAAGCATTTAAAAATGGCTCAGAAACCCCCAGAAGGGTGCAAGGAGCTGGCACTGCTCCAGCCTTGCTCCCTCACAGGCCCTGACGCCAGTAGCAGGCTGGGTGCATGGTGGGGCTGCGAGCAAGGCCAAAGCCAGTGTTCCTGGCCGTGCCTTTATTCGTGCTGTCCGGCTTTGCCCGGCCCTTGTCGTCGCTTCCCTGTCAAGGCTGCAGAGGCTGCATGCTAATGCTAGGGGATGTCCATGCCTAACACAAGTGCAAGCAGGAGCATGTTTGAGAGAAGGGTGCTTGGGGTGTAGGCACGTCCTCATCAAGGAAAGCCTGTCCCAAGCGGTCCCAGTGTCCCAGCCACAGCTCTTGCCTGTCATCTCCTGATTTACTCTGGGATACGCATAAATACATTGTATATTGCTAAACCAACCAGTAATCTCCTATTTCCGCACCCCCCACCCTGTCAATCTGTTTTCCAGTCACTTCTTTGTTTGGTGACAACCACGACAAAAGATGTGTGTTTTGGGCAGACAGCACCCAGGTAGTGGTTTTTGAGCATCTCTCCCAAACTGTCCTTACCTGGCTGGTGGAGCCTGTCTTTTAAGCAAGGCTACAATTTTCCATGGGCATCTAGCTGAGGGAAGAGAGCTCAGGTGTCACATGGATGGACAAACCCTTGCAGCTGAGGTTGGTTGGGGTCGGATTGGGGCATTACATTCTCTGCAGTTGCGTGCTAAGGCCACTTTGCAGAAGGAAGGGTGCTGAGCGGAGGGGGCCATGGTACAGGTGTAGGTGCTGGAGGCTCTGCCAGCAGATCCTGCTCTCCCTGTAGTCACATCTTCGTAGGGACACCACACTGCTCCCCCCCACCTCACTCGCTCTAGGATATGGCTGCTGCGACCTCTGCGTGCAGCGAGCCCTGTTCCTACAGCGTTCCCAAAGCAGGAGGTGTGCTGCAGGGTTTCCTGGAAGAACCAAGCAGTGACACAGGACTGTCGCCTGAGGCTGGGTACAGTGCTGACGGAGAGCCACCGAGACACTGCAGCTGCAAATATGAATTCTGCTATTCCCCAGCTTTTCAGTGTGGATTTATTTCCAAAGCAGAGATTTTTCTGACCTCTTTGAGCCATCCTGTGGCCCAGATTCACCAAAGGCTTTCAGCTCCTAATTTTCTGTTGCTTTCTGGTGGAATTTGGGAACCCGCTCGGAGCCTAGCCATGAGATTGAATCTGAGCTATAAATACGAAATCTCTCTCAAAATCCCATTGTCAGGGGAGATGCAGTCCTCTGCAGGCAGAGCCCCTGGCGTGGGATCGCTGTGGCTTTGGCAGCGGTGGCAGGGTGCATGTGTGCCCCACACCCACCTACTCTGAGAGCATACGGAGTGGGGGGCTGGATTCTGTTCATCCTGCTGAGTCTGAGCAGCATCCCTCGGCGCCTGACGGGGTTTGGCCACCTGTCCTGGGCAGCATGCACCAGGGGACAGTGGCAGTTTCTATCTCTCGTGGGGAGGGCTCAGTGCAAAACGCAGTCAGACTGGATGGCAGCAGCGTGGGGCTCATCTCAGGTTAAGGGTGCGGGGAGCTGGATTTTGCATGTGTGCCCCCCCCCCCCCTTATCCCCTCCTCCGGTCTGCCGGCACAGCCCGATTCCTCTGCCTTTGTGTGCTGCAAGGTGGGAGCTGGGGAGCAATTCCCCTTGCTGTTCTGCCAGCCATGTGTCCGTGCCTGATAAGAGGCCACCGGAGACTGAAGATAAGTTTTCTCTTGGTGCTGGGTCTGCATTTCCTCAATCATCTTGCTCTATCTTTTGTTTTCCGTGACGGCAATAACAGTGTGTCGTCTGTGGGTCAGGACAGGTGTGTTCCTAGCAGAGGCTGCCGTCCTTTGATTCAGATGGCATTTAAGTAATTGTGAACCATCCATAATTTGTATTGGTAATTATGCCACTTACCAGGGGCTTGCGGGGAGCAACTAGTAAAAAAATGAGTTTTAATGGCTCCTGGGTTTAATGACTCTAGGCATGTTTTTTAAAAAAAAAAATCTCTAAAAGGATTTTAGAAAAAAAACAGGAGCCAATTAGGTTAACCAGGTAAATGAACTATCAGCTCATGGAGTATATTCTTGTGCCGGGCCAGGCAGCAGTGCTGGTTTTCATGGGGTTTGTTTAAAATCACAACTGTGAGCAGCCAGGCTATTTGTAATTGCACTCTGACAGGGAGGAAACGACAAGGACCGCCACCTTCCCTGCCATCTTCGTACAATCATCAGCCTTTGAGTCATGTGCAAAGCAGTCACCAAAATGTTCCATTTTCTCATTTCGCCCTGTCTATTATAATCATTAGCCATTCATCACTGATGTTATATGTACTGGCAAGCTCTTCAGATGGTGTCTCGTGCATGCCTTTCAAACCTAGCCAGGCAAAAACACATTCAGTGACAACATGTGACACACTAACGGGAGCAAACAGCTATTTTTGTGAGGCAGCGATGTGCTAATTTTCAAGGCATATTGAGAGGATAATAGGGAATGTTGGAATTAATTGTTCTACGTTCAATGTAATTGCTCTGATTTTACTGAGTTTGGAATGAGAAAGAAGAGAAACCCTGCCTTTTCCAAGAAATCTATTTATTGCTGTTTGCTTTGTTTCGTACCTTGAAAGCACTTCCTTCTCTATAGAAATCGGGAGGTAAATATACTGTTCAGTACTGAATAGTTTCATTCAGAGTCATCAGCCTTTTGCTAACATTTTCCATCTTATGCAGGGCACCCTAGATATTTTAATCAACTTTCAACTGGATTGGACATGGTTGGATTGGCAGCAGACTGGCTGACATCAGCAGCAAATACTAATATGTAAGTAGCAGATTTTTTCCATAATAGCGTTTAATATAATTTTACAGTTACACTCTAAAATACTAGCTGCTGTAGCTGAATGAAAGAAAGAATACTTTTATGTTAAGGTTGCTGGAAAAACAATTGGCTGCTTTTTAAATGGTTGCTTTAGCTATTTACATGAAGACTTTCAATATTGTCCTGTAGGCTGTCTTCTGTAAAATTCCATCATACTAATATGATGTCGGTTTTGCTGCCTGCCCCCTCCAAAATATACATTAAAAAAAATACCATTTTGCATGCATAAATACATAAAATGAAAGGTGTTCTAAGTGAACAGTTGCATTCATGTAGAGGGGTTACGTACAATCCATACTCAGAGCAGTTAAAGCCATTGCTTTTTTTAAGAGAGAGGTGCAGAATTTAAAGTGTGGGGTGTTTTTTTTTCACTTTGGGACTAGGAAGCTTTTTTGTGCGTTTGCTGAGCTTTATGCACGATCTTGTTATTATGAATAGGACCACTGACATGTGTGCTTCAGGCATGCACACAGGTTTTTGCAAGGGGAAGGTCTGGCCCTGCCCAGCAGATCTTGAATACAGGGCAAAGCCTTGAGCCTGGAAAAGGTGGGCAAGATTTGTGTCACTGAAATGGGTGGAAATGGAGTCTCAAGCACCCTCAGCATTTCTCTTTGTAGACATTTGTCATCAAATCAGAAGAGAGATTGTAAAAAATACTGTAAAACTTTTGTAGAACTCAGTGCAAGATAGAGTATATTGTGGCTATAATGTAATGTAATAATGGAAAAAGATGTGTTAGTGTTGTAGATGAAAGCATTAAATGTGGACATTACTACATTTCAGGTTCACCTATGAAATTGCTCCAGTGTTTGTACTTTTGGAATATGTCACACTAAGGAAAATGAGAGAGATGGTTGGCTGGCCAGGGGGCTGTGGCGATGGGATATTTTCACCTGGTACATTATATTTCAAGCTTTCTTTATTTTTCAGACTATGCTATATGACAACCCCTGTAGTTAAAGAGTAAACATAATTAAATATGCATGTTCAAGAGGACACTTGCTAATAACCACCAGTGGCCTCTTTGAGATAAAGTATTGCATGTTTATGAATTTCAGGGATGTGATTATGAGGGTCTGTTTGAACAAATTGCACTGCATTATGAGCAGCTGTAATGGCACATGGGAAACATAATCAGAAGAGACATTTGCCTTGCAGTTTCGCTTTGCCCCCACTTTTTATGGATTACATGAAGTAGAAAGACTAGAGTATTAATAATGGAGGGAAGAAACACAACAATGCTCTCCATTGCTGCAGGGGAAATTGGAGTAAAGAGGGAAGGACGTAGCATCCCTTTAAGTAATTTTAGTGGAGTCGGTAAGATCCTGCCAGCATTACAGTATTGCAGTTAGCTTTCCATGTGTGAGCTGGCCTGTTGAGCTCGGTGGGGGTACTTGGGTGGCTAGTTAAAATGAGCGCTTAAGGCTCAGATATCTGGTTCCTTCAGGGCAAGTCAATAAGGCTTGGGTATGATTAACTGTCGATAAATCATTGACAAACACTACATTGTTAAGACTTTTTTTTTTTTTTTAATCATTCCACTTAGTCTTTTGATTTATACTCTTTGTTACCTCCTATCTTACTTGGGAATTTCATTGCTAAAAATTTTGGCCTATCTATGTCACCAAATTGCAAAAAATTGAAAGAATTGACATTGGGCATAGCATCTTGGCTTGTCAAAAGAGAACAAACTGATAGCTGGTGGGGAAGGAGCCTTTCTGGAAAGAAAGGTCATTGACCTAATGGAGAGGGAGAGAGTGTTTGGACTATGGAGCAAAGGAAAGGTCTTACTGATAACAGCCTAGGATGTTCAGCTCTCCAAGGGCATGAAGGATAAAGTTCATGCTGTGCAGAAGATCAGGCAAGGCTCATCTTCAACTTCTCACATCTGAATGCACACGTGGGAAGTGGTGCAGGAATTTTGTCTTGGGCCTTTCCACAGAGATGGAGAAAAGGTTGAGAATTTACATTATTTCTTGTTGAGTCTTATTTAAAAAAGCACTGAGAGCAAAAGCTCTGACAGCTTTTACTGTAGCACTTAGAGGTCCTGACCAAAACTATGGCCTCCATCACACAGGAGGCCATCTAAATGTGTATCACAAGCCCAGGACCTAAGCCAAATTTTTTAGAAACTGGACAGTGGTTGGTTATTGTCCAGTCCCTGGCCTGACTCAGTACAGCTGATCTTCAGGTGCTCACCTTGCAGGCTTGAGCCGCAACGGTCCTGCTGGGCTGCTCAGGGACATAAGGAGGGGAGAGGAGCAATAGCAACGCTGCTCAGGCAGGCCTGGTGGGCAGAGGCTGGGCACGGGCGGCAGGCGGGGGTGAAAGGCTCAGCCCAAGCACCACATCTGCCCAAGTCTGGCAAACTGTGCTTGAGATATAGCGCGAGTCAGGAGCGATGAAT